CCTTCCTTCGGGCTCACTACAGTGCGCTTTTACACGGTCAAAAAGCACCCTCACACAGCCCCGTTTGTGCACCAATGGGTGATTGCAATGATAATTGAGGACCTGGGTTGTATTGGTCGCCTTTCTGTACACTGTAGTGCTGAGTTCACCGTCAGGTTGACGCGTGACGAGCACGACAACAAAGGGCAGTTTCTCGTCATCCTCGTCTTCTCTTGTAAACTGAATTTCGGGGAATATGCTGTTAAGTAAGTCTTGAAAATCCGATAGCTTGTCCTTTTCAATACTGACGAATGTATCGTCCACGTATCGGCACCAAAACGCAGGTTTGTAGTGGATGAAAGCAACCTTTTCCAGCTCTTGTAGGACCAATTCCGAAATTAGGTTGGATATTGGGGACCCCATGGGTGTTCCTTTGATATGTTCGTATGTTCTGCCATCGAAGGTGAAAAAGGTTCGTTTGCAGAATGCAAAGAGCTGCATTAGGTGCTGGATCTTTAGCAGCCCTGTCGTTTCGTCGTACTTTTCTTCGAGGCGTTTGCGTAGCACGTCACGCGCCAAGTCTGGTGGGATGGACGGGAAAAGTGAGACAACGTCTAAGGATACCATGATTTAGTCGGGTCGAATAGTTTTTTCTCGAATGTCGGCAAGGAACTGGGAGGCCGAATTAACGGACGTCACAGAGCCCTCTTGGAGAAAATTGAGTTTTTGGGACATCCATTTGGCTAAATTGTATGTGGGGCTGCCTTTCAGGGCAACGATTGGCCGCAGAAGAACGTTGGGTTTGTGGATTTTTAGTAGTCCATAGAACCTGGCCAACGCCGTATCGGTTGGTTTTGTCTGGCGCCATTCGTCAAGCGAGATTACATTGTTGTGCCGGAGTCGGCTTAAGAGTCCTGTCAGCTGGCCAATCATCGATTTGGGCTGCGAGGCGAGTGCGGACCTGTAGGACTGTTGGTCGTCCAGGAGAGCTTGTGCCTTCTCGTTGTAATCAACGCGGCTCATCACAACTGTTGCTACCGGCCGACAAAGTAAGAGCGAATACTTGAGCACAAACGGGCCGTCCGAAAAGGCGACCCACTATCTCAAGTCGCAACTCACACGCTGGAGGAAGGCCATGAGTCCGACTTCGCTAACACGCGGATGTTGGCGCGAGCCGGCAACAAGACAGGGCGAGAACTGTTGGAGGCGTGGGTGTCGGGAACCAAATCTATCAATAGACACATCGATTTGCCTGCGTGTTATCACGCGCTCCGCCCACGCAGCCAGGTGCCGCAGCTCACATCGTCGCAAAGTTAAAACAGCGTCACCTCGCTGGGGGACCATCTTGGACCAGGCGGCGCAAACCTTACCTAGCCACGGACGAAGTCCCCCCCTGCCGCAAGGAACAGCCATATAAATGTTCACACGTTGCTGCACTCAAGCAGTCTCAGATGATGAACTCCAGTTCGAGTTCGAAAGGTCAGACAAATAAATTTACTGTCCCAGTGATCGTGCCTGCGTCTTCTATAAGACAATTCAAATGTACACTTTTCAGTTAGGTTAGGTCACTAAACTAGACCCCCCTTTCACATTGGATGACTCAAATTGTTGAAACAAGCACGTGGGTTCGTAGTTCTAAGACAGACTGAAACATCTGCTTCTATTAAGCATTAAGAGCAGGCTGATGATTGTTTAAAACGAAGTAATGACTAATGACTCATTGGAAAGCGAAATGTATATACAAGTATGCAGGTGGGTGTCGGAAATATGACAGAAGGGCGCACATATACATATAATCGATAGCAACTATTTTGCATGACTCCGAATTGATGCCCAAATATTATTTGTCTACTAAGCGCTTGTCCCGCTCATAAATTGTTCAAATTAATGAATATGCCAATTGAATACGCCTTACCATAGCACAGATATGCGCACTCCTAATTCAGTGGCCGAAAGTTGAAGTTTGGTACAGCTGCCTATACGGTTCCAGCATACAACGCACTCAAGAAGTGTGATATCTTGTGAAATGTTAACTAAAATTCTGAAATATGTTTTCAATTAGAAAAGACTACCTTGGTAGGATTGTGATATTAACAAGTGCATAACAAAGCCACTAGGTATTTCTGGCACTTCAGGGTGCTAGCCATTGAACATGATTCCCTCGGGCCGTCTGCAGAGTGTCCACTCAATAAAAAGGACCGCCTAAGTAGTATGAATTGTTTCTCACTGATTTTCGGCTCCAACATGTTGCAGAAAGCGTACACAGAAACACTTTCTCTTGCATATATCTAGTAGAAAATGATGCTTCCCTTAAATTTCCTACTCGGAGAATGTGTCCTATTGGCTTTTTGAAGACGTCCTGGACTCCTGAATAATCTTAAACTCGACCTGTTGTTACACATGTATTCTGGGTTTCCAAACTCTATGCCATTTACATGTCGTCAAAAAATGAACGCACGCGTCTTTTCGCTATAAGGGAGAAGTCATATAGCACCCATAAAGTTGTGCATTTGATAAGGACCAAGCTGCATACTAGTAAACGTGTATGTACGATGTTATTCGGGTAGGCACTTCATAGTATTAAAAATATTACAGTTTCTTAGAAAATCCTGCTTCGGCAGTCAACTTACTGTATCGGATTTGGTGGCTTTCGGACGTTGCAGTAGGTTGGGCGGTTAACCTTATCCAAATGTTATTAAAATTGCGCCATCCGTCGGGGGCCTTGTAGCTCAGGTCGTTAGAGTATTGGCCGTACTAAGGCCTTACTATCGTGGGTTCGAATCGCATCGGGAGCGGGGGTTTTCGCAATTGGATCAGTATGAATTATTCAAAATCTGCCAAAACATCTATGAATTATAAACCTTCCCAAAACCGAAACACGTCTTTTTAGGGTATATAATTTGTAGAAGACGTAAATTGTTACGAAATGAACACAAGATAGAATATTTTCTATATGCTTTTTCTTTATAATGTATTTGAACTTACTGGGGTATTGAAGGTCATAGGAGAATTTTTTGTCACTTAGGTGGTCATTTTTGCGAAGTGCGCCTTCTACAGACGTCAGAAAAGAACCATTTGGGTAGCAGAGTATCCCACTGAGACCTTGGAAAATATTTCTTTCTCGTTAACTCTGATGAACTGTCCCAGTAAGTACCTAACATTAATGTTTTACGCTCGAATGCCTCCTGATTGTCAGACGCAACCAAACGATTGCATTCTAATTGTAACTTGAGTCCGGTCGCATTGTTTGCAACGGGCTATCAGTAATTGCCGTTTCCAGGTACGCATCCTTCAACGGCAGGCCAAAAAACCCAGACTCTATAGAAGACCATTTCGTGCACTGATAATTGTAGCCTTGTACACAGCCGTCAAGCTAGGAATTGGCTTTCTCGGTGCCGTGATTAGAATAAGTATGCGACGTTGTTGCCTCTTGTATTAATGCATTCCGTCTTTACAGTCTCAGGTAGAACTGTTTGGCATTAAATATAGAGGTTGGGCAGCCAGCAGGTTTCCAACCTAAGGTTCAGGGTCGACACGCAGCACGCGTTAACGACGCACGCGGAGTAAACCCAAAACGGCAGTTTGGAATAAATCAGTCGTTATAATACAACACGTAGCCGCAACTGCAGCCGAGGCATCTGTTAGGACTGCGCAGTTACCTCAGATTCTTCCCTGCCACTCGAATATCCGAGCTTCCAGAGCTGGTGATGATTTGGTCGACCGAAGACCGCAAACTGGAATGTCTACTGATATTCCCATTCTCGCGTATTTAATTACTAAGTCCACTAAAGCTGTTGCTTCAAAATCTTCAGCTTCCATTTGACGGAGGCTGTCCTGGCGTATGCCGTTCGCTTAATGTTAGGCGGGGCTGTAGGCATATTGGGTATATACACCAGGATAGCACTGAGCTATTTTCAGCACTGTGAAGGAATACTACAGGGTCAGGATTGCTGCCTCGCATCCGGCGACTTCTTTGACCTGGCCACCTCTACTAGCTTGAGAGGACATCCTCTGAAACTATGTGTGACAGGGGCGAGACTGGACGCAAGGAGGTTCCTCTTCAGCCACAGAATGGTAAAGGCATGGAATGCCCTGCCTGCGGACGTCGTCATGTCTCCATCCGTCGACACATTTAAGAGGAAGCAGGATCAGTACGAGGATAAGTGCCACCACGGCATCAGAATCTAACAAATTTTTCCCCTGCACCGCCCTCCCAGAAAGCTTTACGTTACGTAGCATGCTACTCCCTATATTTAAGTAGCATTACTTGAATTTCATTTATCTCCAGCAGAAGGATATACGGTTGCATCGATATTACTTGGTCCATTCAGTACTGCGTACTGGTTATTGTACAATTTTGACAAAGAAGGAAATCACAGATAATTTTTTACCGGTAGCCAGTGCTTGTTGTATGTAACTACTTACCTAAATTTCTTTGACACTTGCCTTATAAATTGCTCGGTTATGATGTTATTGCAACCAAAAGAAAGTTCAAAAAGGCTCGCCTACCTTTCCCTTAATAAATCTGATAAAAAATACCTTCGTACTCCTCTCAGCGAAAAAGCCAACTGTCAGTCGTATGTCGCAACTGTTTGAGTGCAATGACTCGTGCGTGATACCGCAGGGTCAACCTTGCAAAGAATGTCCCTCAAGTTTTCACTGTAATTTCTTGTCTAGGCGCCTTACGTCGCACGGTATTTCAGGTTTTTGAGACCTCACACATGGTGGTGGCAAATGTCTCATCCCCGATGTCGGCACGGTCATCGCGTTGCTGTGAATATGATTCATGCGCCCTTATATGGCCTGACCGTTTACTTACTACAAGTTTTTATAACACAGTTATGATATCCTTCACCTACGGACCTCAGTACCATCATCTCCCCAAACAAATCATCCAAGACCTTTTGCACCTAATATTCTCTCCAAATGAAATGACAATCGACGGTGGACAAAGAAAAATGTTTTTCATTTACAACAGAAAAGAACTAGAAACATTGCTTGAAGTAGACATTTCGGCCAGATCACACCTGAAGCAGACGGAGAGAGATTCCGGCAAGTGTTACCCACCACAGGGGGTTTACTGAAGCCACGCCACTGGAGTCGGATATAGAGTAACCACGGTAGTAAGCTCCATATTCATCCCGTGGGTAAAAGGTGAATGTCTGGGTTCCACTGTTTGCATACTGCAGCTGGACAGACATTGGCGTTTTTTCAATGTATCCGCTGATCAGTATAACGAGGCCACTTCGAGGGTCCTTAAGGTCTATAAATAATAAGCAAATTGGCTTGCGATCTGCATTTTATACAGGGGTTTTGTAATATTATTTCAGTTATTCATAAAAAACCTCGACAATAAGATTATTTCTGTCCCGATCACATTATGTATCAGGATTAATGCGAATGAAAAAAATGATGCCAGGTAATTAAAACGGATGAGGTTTGATGAATAGTTTGCACTTGACACACCAAAAACTTGGAAAGACGTACAGAGCGGGCTGTAGACACCCAGAGTTGGGGATGGTGTAGAGCCGCCCGCCAATTTTGCGCCTCCAGAGACATCGATTTTCTTTGTGATTTGAATAACAGAAGCAATTTTAGAATGCAAATTTACTGTTGATTTTAAAATAGGGAGGTAAAAGCTCGGCAGATGTTAGCGTACCTCGACCTCATTCTTAAAAATGACAAGGTATTCAAAGTGATATCCTGCCTCCAGATCCACTGTCTTGTCAACGACCGTGCCACGTGGAAGTGTCGGTTCTAGTGCAAACGCAAATGTAAGGAAAACGTTGCCACTAATCGCATATGCCACATTAAATAACTAAACAGAAAGGCGCATAGATCATGATGTTCTGGTGACAGTAGAAAAACCAACGGGTTTAATTTCGAAATTGTGAATAGAATGATTCACTTCCTGATTTGTTGCGAGCGGTACATGACTTACACGATTACTGATATCTTGACACATGGAGACACATGTGAAACTCTTGCCACCATTGTATACTAGACATGAAAATCTGTGTCGTAGTTGAGCTTAATTCACTGTCTAACCTCCTCCTCAATCGAAAATTTAGACCAGTACGTCGACTAAATCATGAAAACTTGGCCGAAATTCTGAAACGTGTTTTCGATTTGAAAAGTCTACCTAAGTAGTGTCGTAATATTAAGGATAGTGAAGCGAGATCCCGAGATACTCCAGTCATATCAGAATGAAAGTTATTGAACGATTCTGTTTTTTCCGCCTGCAAATAATATATTTTGCAAAAATTGACTGCATAAGTAGTATGACTTTTCGTATATGATTTCTGATGTCACTATAAATTAAATTTGTTATGTAGACGAGATGAATAATAATAATAATCATTGTTATGTCCCTTTTGAAGACCATTGATTTTTCTTCAAATTTTATTCTTGGGGGAGCAGCGCAATATAGTTTTAAAACGTCTTTAGATTCTCGAGTAATTTTCGCCTCGAACTGACGGTTCACTTGCATTCAGGGTTTCCAAACTACAAACTGGCAGGAATAGCATGAATCTTATATTCTGCTGAGAAGATACTATATGAATTTCATTTTATTTTGCGGTAGATTTCGCCATATTGTATACTTTACAAACAACATTATGAAATGCAGGGGTACGATGTCATATGAATGAATATTTCGAGTTCCTAGATTTCGCAATCAGAAGCTTTTTAAAAGCCGAAAGATAATATTTTCCAAATTTACAGAAAACGCTATCTTCTAACAAAGGAGCGCACAAGAGAATATTTTTATGCTGTTTTTCAATAAAATAGATTTGTATTTATGAGAGCATCTACAATCAATGAGGAAGAATCCTATTAAATATGTAGTCTTTTTACAGAATATAGATTCTGCAAGCAGTCGAAAATAAAGCCCATCTAGAAGTCTTAAGTGGTTGTAATATCCTAGAATCATGCTACATGGTAAGTAAAATTATAATCATAAGTAGTCTCTTCGGGTGGGACACACATTTTGAAATAACGGTTAACCTCGCATGAGATAGAATATTCACTGCGCTTTTACATTTAAATTCACATTTTGCGTCTGTGAACTATTTAGCTAGATGTTGCAAAAATGGTCGAAGTCCCGTCACTCTTGTGTCACCCCTTGTTACTTGAAACTTATTCGCTAGGCCATAAAGTGCATAGTATCCACAAGCGTACCTTTATTCTCTGCGTCTTTTCGGGTAATGACAAGGGCACGAGGAGTTGAACTTTGTCGAACATAGAAGATTACGGCGGAAACGGGTTCGGAAATTGTTCCACGCACTATCGCTCCTCTGCTTGCTAAAAGCGTACGGGCAGTTTAAAACTACTGATGTATTTATATATGAATTTTTAATTTGGAAAGGTTTACCGTTAAATATCTGGTAACAAAACTCCTTTCTCTTGCAGTCGCCACTTTTTATAGCGGGAGAGGATGTTGCAACCTAAAATAGATTAAACTTTAAGTCATTTTGCAATTTTTAATTAACATCGTAATCACCCTGGCAACACAAGGTAGCTTGCCTGACAATTTATAAATTCAAAAAATGTAATCTACCTTAGTGACCGGAGGCGTGAATTCAAATCTGTAAAATGTTGTGAGTTCGCCTACACGGTAATCAACTGCAAGGCACGTTTCTAGATCAAGTAAAAAATAAAGCGTTAGCAGTTAGTCATTTTATGGAGCAATATTAATGTTTATCTTTCAAATAAAATCAGGCTCAGCTTTCTCTGTCGTGCTCTTAAAACCTGGAGCTATATAGGAACTGAAGTGTTTGTTAAGTTTTCGTTTCTAACATTTAACAGGTTACTAGACAGTAAAACTTGCTATAGTGTGAATCCACGCTTTTTTCTAACTCGCACCAATAGTGTCTCTCTGGCGGAAAATAGTAAACCGTCATTTAGTAATTTAATTAAATGAAGACAACCTATCGCAAAATTACGCACAAATAAGTAACAATTTGTAAAAGTATTATATGCACAAAAACAGTGAGTCATAAATATTGGGTAAACGAAGGAACTTGTTCTTACGAAACAGTAGCAAGATGACAACAGCCTCCATTTGAACTCTGAAGAGAATAGAAAAATGTAAAGAAATATAATTTTGTTCAAACAAATTTGCTACGAGAGAGTTGTGCATCAAGTAATAACGTAAGTTTACAATCACTAAAAGACTTACTCAAACTTTTATCAACTAAGTTTTGACAGTCAAGTGAGGCGCTTGAAAGATCAGTTCCCAAAAATTTGTGTTTTCTAATCCGCGCCTTATTTGACTGCAGAGATTTTTATTTATGGCAGAGGCGTAGACGACCTAGAGGAATATCAGCCAATAGGTCGTCCAGATGCGCTTAGCGAGAAAACAAGGACGGCGACCAGACAAAACAACGTTAAAAACAACCATCTTAACTTATTGTGCGTGTACGTGAGTGTTCATATACGATCGACTTTATAGCAGCAGAAAAGGTAGCCTCACTTTCGCTAGCTGCAACGTCAAGAATAAATGAAAGCTATTGTTGCGCTCTTGTCAAGGTAGAAATTTGGACAATAACGATACTATAGGCTTGCGCTCCTTTGGAACAATCTAAATGATTAAAGACTTTGGGTATTGTCTGTAAAGGGAAAAATGTAGTGGACGTTTCTAAAAGTTCACACGGTTGCTGTAATTCCCTGTTACAGTAGACCGACTTTATCATGACATATCAACCGGAATTCTACAGTGCGTTTTCGATTAGCAAAGACGGCTGAGGTTGGATTGTAATATTAAACATCGTCCATCATAATCCAAAGATATTCCAAGCATGTAAGGATGCGGCTGTCTAAACGAGCTTGTTTTCGGCTGCTTGGAAGAACTGCATCCCGTAAAAATGCACTATCTAAATAGTATGCATTTTTAGTTGATTTTTGGGTACCCACTTAAATTTAAATCTATTTCACAGAATTCATACCGGTAGCATTTTTGTACTTATTTGGACTTAAAAGTATATGTCTGAAGAAAGAGTATCCTTGAGTTTTGAAAGACATCTTTGATTCACGAGTAATTTTAGACCTGACCTTTTGAAGAGCTTGCCAGGCAATCTGGAAGAAATGCCGCCTACAATTCAATGGGTTCGTGACAGTCTGTCTTCGTAGTCGCCAGTTCAACTGCTCATTCGTAAAGTTCACTTATGCGGCAGTTTAGTACCTACGCTCCACATGATTCGGTTCACGGCGTGGCGATAGCTTCACGGTATCGACGCTATTGGCTGTCGACTGACATGACCTAGACGCAAGCATGCACCTCACGTCTCGACTGCCCATAAAATGACCTAACACACTAGCTTCCACCGACCTTCACACTGTTTGTTACTAGTCCGTCACTGTAAGGACTGTCCTACTGATACTGTCTCCCCGAATTCTTATCCTGAAAACGTCTTGCTATCGTCCTCTCTGTCTCGACAGGTTCGCCTAATAAAAAATGAAAACGATCTTCTGTTCGACTAACATGCGCGTTGTCGATACTTCAATGATGGAGCATTCAACGCGAAATCGGGGTTTTGACGATTTGACTACGTCTTGCTCATTTCCATTTTGGAAATATCTTACCTCCTGGGCCGCTTAATGTCTTCCTACTGCAGTCATCCATTTAAAAATGACTTCGCAACACTTTAAAATTACCATCTAGCACAAATTTTCCCTGGCAATAGAAGGAATAAAGATTAAAGCGCTTAAAACTAGATCTATCACCAAAAAGTTTAGCAAGAGTGGTGCCGCTTTGTATGAAGCGCAAAATACTATTTTTTATTGATTATGTTCTTGGGGCAAAATTTGTATGGTCAAATGTTATTACACACATGCTATTAGAAAACCAAACGACACCCCAGTTCAACAATCGGAATCTTAAAGCTCTCGCACAAACATGTTTGCTGATAGACTGGATCCAAAGAAACATGACTCATGTAACCCCCGTCCACTCGGTTGTCACCCGCCGAGAGCGTTTCAGCGTCGTCGATCTTGAGTTCATGGTCGGGTCGTATCGAACAAGCCTCTACCTGGGAGTTGGCGTTTTTCATTCTCACCGTTGTTACGCGCTTTGCAGTTCATTACTGAAGGAGTCTTCAAGTTTATTTGACGAAACTGATTTTAACCCAACTGCTAAGGGCCCGCTAGACGATTCAAGACGTTTCTGGTCGTTGCAGTGGATTTTTCGGCCTCTGGACTCAGTATTTCAGTTGTCTCAGGTCTACGTGAGGTGTGAGGGTTTTGGTAGGCTAATGACGGCCGCAGCGGCGTTCCAGAGGAGTTGAACACTTGCCTGAATTTGAGGCTGTTTGATTTTGGTTTCCCGTCTAGATTTCTTATGCCTTGATTGACAAAGTTAAGTGGTGATCATTCTCTCGGAACGCTTGTTGAAATTACTGCATTACGTCAATCCATTACTGCATGATCATCCTTATGCGATCGCAGGCAAAGACTCACGACTGAAATACTTTGACAAAACTAAATGACCCATTGCTTTCTAGGTACCTTACGAGACATTCCTTTGTAGTTTGTCGAACAGACTAGTGCCCTTAAAACATATCCTTGCGCCATGGTCTCCTGTGTATGTTTTCGAAGTAGCTTTGCATCGGTGTCAAAAACAAAGTTTTTGACTGTGCGTTGACTGAAAAAATGCTGTAACCGCCAGCAAAGGCCCAAATCAAAAATGCTATTTAAAGTTGGGAAGTTTCTCTCTAGGCACTCATCCATGGTGGGTTATTCAACAAAGACAAGGGTGACTGGATAAAATTCCAGGTGACCGCAAATGTCTGAGCGCATAACAGAAAAGGAATTGACGGCTGAAAACAATGAACGCGTGCTTCCACCGGTTTTGCATGATAACCCTCGGATTTCATGACGGATTATAGAAGCAGAATGGCGTAAAGGATTCCCCATAAAGGCGCCTAGCGCCACCAATTGCCATGCTATCGTCATTGAGGACTCCATGGTAGGACGTGGGAATAAATATCATTCTACGATATATTCCTTGCGATTTAATCTACGGTTATGGCTAGGAGAGCTAAGCGGGCTAGGATTTGGACTGAGTTTTGAGTCACAGGATTATTTACTCCCCTGGAATCTAACGCAATGCTGTCTGAAGGACGGCGGGAAGGGTTACATACGGTAAATGTGCTGTTTCATAGAACTTCCAAAACGCCTTCTCGATTCGAAACGAGAACTTGGGGAGGCTTGTCATATTAGCGACCATGCCGCAGGATCCTAGGATATTTCAGTCATATCAGGATGTTGGCATTCAAGTACGCTTCGTTTCGGCCGTCGGCAAAAACCCACAGTCTGCAAATTTATTGCCTAGGTTGTATGCATTTTTTTCGTTTTCAATGCTCTTACAAATGTAGATGTATTTTATGGAAAACATGCACGCAACCCTTTATCCTTCTACATGTTTGGTAGTAAAATACACTTCGATTAAATTTTATCATGAAAGAATAGTACAATTTGGCTTAAAAACTTTTTCATTTCCAAATAACTTTTAACTTGACCTACCACTACACCTGCATTCAGGGTTACCGACCACAAGTTGCATGTCTTCAATGTTGGGAAAAACTTGCATTGTTCTGGGCTGCTAAGAAGATACTGTACGGGATTCATAAACTTTTTGCTGTGGATTTGGGTCGCACTGTTTTTGCCCTAAAGCAACATTAATTAATGTAAAGATACAGTCTTTTTGAATGTAGATCCCGCGATTTAAATACCATAGTTATTGACTTTTTAAATACCGGACGATGTTCTGTCCTCCAGTATAGAATTTAAGTATGACGTACGTTATGCAGATGCTCTTAATAGAGCATATTTAAGTTTGTAAGGACATCGAACTTAATGAGATATATGTAGGCTACTTGAGCAGTCATTTTTAAAGAATGTAATTTTTTCGAGACGGTCGGGATAAAGATCGTCCAAAAGCCGCTGGATCTGTGTGGCAAATGTCATCGACCGCTTTCCTTTCTACAGACGGTGCATTCCCTCCCATTTGAATACGGCCACACTTCACCCGGAGTGGAAACTACTTTGGCTCTGGATCCAAGTAAAGAAGCACTTGAATCAGATGCTTGGGTTCTCATCCACGGACTTTTCGGAATTTTTCGCAGACTTACTGAATGATTACGTGAAAGAGACCAGGGCAGTTCATGCAGATCACACTTTTCTTTGTCAGTAAAATGTTTAGGATAATGTTTGCATAATTCGAACGAAATCCTTCGTGTTCCATTAAGATAACCTGAGTCAACAGTAAAAATCCATGCGCAAGGGCAGGGGAAAGCTGTCCCGTGAAGCTCCGTTTACGATAAATCGTTGCTTAGGCGACCAAGTTCATGAATTAATACAAAGGCCGTCTTCGATTCACAAAATGAATGCACTGATGAAGAAAGTAAGTCGAAGCAGCTCCAACAATGACAAATGCCTGATAGCAACTATGGGATGGAAAACTCCAGATATGCAGCCACAGTCAGACCCCGCCTCTCCTCTGAGGCTATATTAGAATCCTCAAAAAAAGAGATGAACTGGCCGCCGGCCACGAAGTCCGCTAAACGACGCTTGATGTTTAAATGCCAGTTATCGCAATGTGAACAGCTCTACAGAAGGTGGGTTAACTCATGAAAAGTCACCCGAAATTTCGAAATCCATTTTCGTTTTGAAAAGATTAATCAAGTAGGTTTGTAAAACTGATCCGTTTGCAGCATAATTATATAATACTTCAGTTACCTCAGGATGCCAGATTTCGGAAGCACTTCTTTTCGACGGCAAGCAGAAATAATACTTTGTTAAGAAGGCCTACAAATTTAGCGAGGGTCCGGGTCCTCACTGTGTCCCCCAGCGTTCTCTATGCGGTTTCCGGCATATGAACTCCAAAGAATAATCAAGCATATAATTTACGAAATTTTTTAAGAACTTGTCCTCTGGAGCTCATACACCGAAACAGTAAAGAAGACGCTGGAGACCCACAAAGGAGCTGAATCCCTCGCAGTTGTGTCACACAGCGGTAGAATATCGGTAAATGACTGGGCTTTTAACTGGGCTTTTGTCTGGGCTTTTAATTGGTACATATGTCGGGAGTACGGTATAATAGCTTTGCCACATACACTAGGTTGGCTTACTCTTGAAATGTCTGTCGAAATTCCAGAATGCATTTTTTGTTTCGAAAAGATTAATTGAAGAGGGTTGTACAACTAGTCATCCCGCAGCATAATTCTACAATAAGTCAGTTACACCAGGACGCCAGTATTCGCGTGGACGTCTTTCGGGCTACATGCAAATCTATGCTGTGTGATAAATGGCTTCTTGATTCCCATGGATTTTTATCATTAATTTTCAATGCCCTTAACAATTTAAAAATATTTCATGAAAACCACGCATAAGCATATTTCTTCCTTGGCCTATTCGGTAGAATATGACGTCTTCTTACAATACTATACTCGAAGAAAGGGTGCAGTTCGGTTTTCAAAATCTTTTCCAGTTCCCGAAAAAATTTGGACGCAAACTGCCGTTACACTTGCGTTCCGGGTTACCAAACCACAAACCGTACATTTTCCGCCAACGGTAATAAGGGCGGACCATATTTGGTTCATAAAATTAACCAGTAAATTTGAGCCATATTGTTAACTTTACAGGCCAAACGGATAAATGCAGAGGCATGACATTTTGTGAACGGCAGTTTCACCGTATTAAAAAATCTCAAAATTAGAAACTTTGTTAAAATCGAATGATACAATGCCTTTGAGTATACAATTGGAAGAAAACGTAATGTTCTACCAAACGGACAAAGAAATGAATATCTTCATGCGTGTTTTTCATGTGGTAAAATAAAATATTTAAGCACATCGAAAATCAGCGAGAAAAATACATGCTACGTGAATGGTCATTTTTTACATTGCATGCATGCAGCCAAAAATCTTTCAAAACCGGCATCCTGAGGTAACTGGATTACTATAGAATTATGCTGCAAGAGGATTAGTTTTACGATCCGGTACGTACAAACTAAATATCGACTCTGATCGATTGCCTACCAAACGAACGTAAAATACGATCGTTATTACGTTGCGTATGACTTCATCGGTCGCAGCAGTATGGGCCAATTTAAATACTCTCCGTGAGTCCTATTTGCCAGCACTATAACTGGGAAGTGATGATTCGTTTACACATTAACTTTATGATTTCTGGACAGCAGGGAAAGCATATTTGTATTGACATTGCCAAAATACACTCTGTGGACGTGAACGAGTGAATTATAGGTTAAGACGTGAACGTAAGTGGCAAAAGTTGGGCAATGTGGTTGAGAGGATAGACCAGACGTAATCGGAATCATCCTTTAGAAGTATCATTATGAACTTATCAAATCTTTAAAATTACTCCGTCTATTTAAGTTTACATGAACATAAATCATGTTCGCAAGGCAGCTTCAGAACTTTCTGATGCACATATGATGCAGGGCACATGCTTTGCTCAGAATGTCAAACGTCTTAAAGTCTTAAAATTCTCGTAGATTTTTGTTAACCGTGCGTAATCTATGAGAAAAATTACTACAGTCTAAAGTAGACGTGTTTCTTCTATTCAGCAACTATGGTAGTTGAGTGTTGAGTAACGGTCCTGCCCCCCCAAGCTTTGCGTGCACATGTGTGCAGACCCGCAGCCATTTGATGATGGATGACGGGTGTCAGGAGGCCCATTCGTGCAATGACCGGGGAAAAGTCCCGAAGGACAGGGAAGGGGGCTGGGCCACGTCGTGTTTACAGGCCAGAGGTCACGTGACCATGTTTTCCTGCATCGAAATCTGTCGTATTTGTTTTTGCTAAAAGTACGAGTTTGTGCAGACAACTTGTTTGCTTCATGGTGAGATGTGCGAGAACCTCCTAAATCACGTGCGACTATAGCGTGAATGCTTATTCAGAGGAAGCTGAAGTAATCTTTTCCGGCTGCTGGTAAGTTAGTCGGGAGTGACTACAGTCATGTCACTTATGCTTTCATGGACGTTTATTATATATTGTCCCACATCCTAGGAGGAGGTTTAACAACGATAAGGAACTGGGGAAAAGTAATAAGGGCTTATAAACAGTCCCAATTCAACCATAAATTAGACGTACATACGGAGACATTCTGTCTAGAACGATAGGAGACCGGTGGTATAGATGTTTGCGGGTTAGAAAGGCCCTGAACGAATAGCAAGATTCCATAACTTAGAGGAGCAAGGAATGATAGGCTTCGGTTAATCTGCAGAAAGTGGTCATTTAAGAGTCCTTTGTTCTTACGGTGTCTAGAGAATCGACCAATCTGAAAACCTCGGAATAAATGTTTTATTACTAAACGCCGGAAGATAGTTTTTTGGAAATTCAGAGCTGGGCATTGCTTGTGGTGTTTAGTAACGAAAAATTTGCCAACAGTGTCATTCTCTGTCTGCTTTGACCCGCACGGTAATGTCTTTAGGTTTTTAATTGCTCCCCGCTGTGCGTATACTCGAATGAACTCTATTGTGGAATACAAAAACTTAGCGGGAATTTCTAAAGTTCATTTTGCACAGATCGGGGACTACCGGCCAAATGGCGCTCCAGGTTAGTTATAGCTCATCCGAGGGTCTTTAATGTCAAATATCCTCCATGCATTGCACACTTCCTATTGCTGGCATTTGGTGCTATTTTTCGGAATTCTATCAGACATTGAAACTGAATGAACATATACTCGTTTAAAAACGACGCCTTGAACAGCACGATCATATCAGCACATCAAAAACTCTAGTTACACAGGTTTTTGCAAATAGTCCATTAATTAAAGTGCTTAAGTTGTGTGCGCCGTAATATCAGTTCCTGGTGATTTAACCAAAAAATTCATTTTTTGCCTAAATAACTTTGGTCGGCAGATATGGTTCATTTGGCGTAAATGACGATTTCAGTAGAGTTTACTGTGTAAAACTCGCAATACATGGTACATTTGTTATCTATATACGGTATCATCACATCGGGCATGGGTCTTGGATTATTCCCTGCTAGGCCTGTTAAGGCCATGGGAGCAACTAGGTCCACCGACTCCATGTTTCAAGCCATGTTTGACTCAACAGATCCTTTTTAGCCCTCTCAAATGCAGTTACCTTGCAAGATCTGTACTCATCGATCACCGTCATTTAACAATCTTATCAGCCAAAACGTGCATTGCTGCCTTCGAAAAACAGACACTTTATATCCATCGGCGCCTTCAAAACAAACATGTCTACCCTCTGACTGTGGAGTTTTCTACTCGGTGAAATGTGAGGCCGACAGTTGAAGGTCGTAACCCCGTATTAATGGCCATGCCTAGTATCGCTTTTTCTACCAATGTAGAACAAACCATTTAAGTTAAGAATACCAGCAATGGAAGTTTTGTGTTATAGGTCGTGGACTTACCTGATTTTTCTGGAATTCTTTAGGTGATTAGACCTTATTCGAAATTGGGACTATGACAAAGGGGAACGGACGGGATTTGATGACACTCTCCCATTTATTCTAATTTCTTCTTATCAAGAAGACATTTGTTCTTACTTCTGGTGACTCTGAAGTATGAAGGTGTGAACCGCTGTAGTTCACGTAACCAGAGTGGAACGGCCTCATTGACGAGTAAACGAGACCGAAATCAACCCAAAGGAGCCACAACGACTGGTCCCTCGACTGGCAGACCAAGAACCATGTTAGCATGGCAACAACGTCGACGGCCGCGACGGTCATACGAGCGGTCACACACGGGCAACGACTGATCAGCAGCGAACAGGTAGGTCAAATTTCGTAAATAGAATACGGTGACAACGCAAGACAGGCAGCAAGGCTGAGGCCGACGGGAACAACCACCACACTACTCTGGTGAAAGAAATTTAGAGGCTCCGAAACGTCAGTCCACATATATTTCAAATTATTGGTTCTGCTCTTCTTCTTCTTCTTCTTCTTCTTCTTCTTTATCTGCATCTTATTGGGAATTGATTAACACTATAAAGTACGTGGAGCTCGAAACGCTACGCGCATGTATAAGGAAGGAAAATGCAAGATGATGTCCGGGGGGGGGATTATTTGGCTACCTGACATTTTACACTTGCAACTGAGCAAATCATTTGAGGCTGACGATACGGAAAGTACACGATTTTTTTAAATTAATCACACTCTTTTCTCTTTGGTCCTCCTCTCGCACGCAAGTACTGCCTGATGGCCTCGTATACCGCTACTGAGTCGATCAAAGTGACATCAAAGCAAAAGGCTTCGTTTTTCACTCCCCCAGTTTTTTCCTTAGCTCTGACGAGCCCTTTGGCACGGCCAAAGGCGAGGGAGTGATTATTATTGGGGCTGCGCATGGCGACATGCAAAAGTTCATTTATCCGCCTTACGGCTAAAACATGTTCGAACATGGGCGTCCATCGTCATGTATCGGTCACGCAGAAATGCTTGGCCCTTCTAGACAGTTGACGGGGTAAATAACTCCAGACGTGTTCTACGTTCGCAGTGAACCATTGTGTTGTTTGTGTGATAGTGATGGATAGTGGCCTTCGGTGGCTTCAGAGACGAGGGACGAATTATGTGCGCCCTTCCTTTTTGCTCATCGTCTGTCTGCGTGCGCCCTTGCTGCATGCATTTGTTTATTACGCTATATAAGTACACACTAGGGGGCAGGCAATTTGTCTTAAGCTCTCACATTCTCTTGGCATTTTGGATGCAATGTTCGCTGCTGGATTAAAAGAGTGCCCGAACAGAAGTGAGTTTAAGCGACAGGGAATACCCGCTTTTGTAGTGGGGGGTTCAGTCTGCATGCCTCAAAACCCTGATATAAACAACGGGAATATTCTCCCCATTTTCCCATTCCAGTGCAGATTACATTTGAGAAAACACCGAATTTCCTTTCGATTTAAAGGCCCTTTTTGTCTCAGCTTGGAATGACAATTGTGTCATCCAATATTTGCTTGCTGGAATTAAAAACACCTGGTGTCCAGTTGCGGCAAGATCGTCTAAGCCAGTTAGCTGGAGATCGGGAATCCTGTGGAAGTGCACTGGCTTTGTTCGTAAACAGGGTCTTTAAATGTGGAGTACCTGCTTAAACAGTACTCCAGCGGCTTCTGGCCCGGCCGTCAGTTTGTTCAAATGCTTGGGAAACCGTTTAGCCAGTCCGCAGGTACGTTGGCCTTTCCGCTACGCGATTGACGTAGGGGGACATTTTGCCGCTCTGTGGCAACATTTCAAAGTTTGCCAATAGAAGCGAAGAGCCGAGTCCCAGGAAGTAGTCTTGAAGAAGGAGACACGATCGCCGGGACAAGAGCTTTTTTAGCCTGACGTTTCGGATTCCTACTCGAATCCATCATCAGAGACAAAAGAGCAGAAACGGGTGGTTGTTGCACAAGGGGCTGTGGTATTTATAGGATGCAGTAGCCATGCTGCCNTCTCGTCGAATGAGCCGCAACTTGAGAGCTGGCGTCATTTCTGCGCACCGCTGCCGCGTGTTCGGCCATTCTCGTTCGGAGCTGTCTTCCGGTTTCTCCGACGTAGTTGCTTTGTCCGCAACTGCACCAGATCCGATAAACGACTCCAGACGTTTCTAGCCGTGGCAGTGGGTCTTTCGGTTTCATGATCAGACGCCTGATGGTTGCCTCCGGTCTGTGTGCCACTCCAACCCCAAGTGGTGCGAGAAGGCGGCCGACAGCTTCCGAAACGTTCTTGACATACGGAAGTGCCCGCCAAGACTTGGTGTCCGTGCGGTTAGGCCTTTCGTCCCTTTTGCGTATGCACCGGTCGACGAAGTTGCGCGGGTAGCCATTGGCTTTGAAGACCCGTCGGAGGTATTGTAGTTCAGCAATTTTGTCTTCCGGCTCACTGCAGTGCGTTTCGACACGCCGATAGAGCGTCCTTACACAACTGCGTTTGTGGCTGATTGGGTGGTTACTGTTGAAGTTCAGTACTTGCATCGTATTTGTCGCTTTCCTGAACACTTTGGTCTTTAGTCCACCACAATCCTTGCGGCATACGAGGACATCCAGGAAGGCCAGCTGGTTGTTCTCTTCCTCCTCCATCGTAAATTGAATGTCCGGGAAGACGGCGTTGAGATGTTCTTGGAATGTCAACACCTGATCCCGTTCGATGACGACGAAGGTATCATCCACATACCGTGCCCAGAATTTCAGTCTGTGGTGTTGGAAGACCAGCGACTCTAACCGTTGCAGGACCGCCTCGGCGATGAATCCCGAAATCGGCGAACCCATTGGTGTGCCCTTCACCTGTTCGTAGATTGTCCCGTCGAACGTGAAGTACGTCCCGAGACAGAGCTTCAGGAGCTGAAGGATTTGGGCGTGTCCAAGACGGTTCTCCGTTTCATCATATTTGTTTAGTAGTGGCAACTCAATTGTCTCGATGCCAGGTCCTGGGGAATATGAAGTAAAAAGGGATGTAACATCAAAAGATACCATGACCTCATTTGGATGGGTACTTACCCCTTTGAGTTTCTCCAGGAATTGTGCTGACGAAGAGACCGTGGTGTCTGACTCAGCGGTCAGGAACTTGAGACGCCGGAACAGCCACTTAGCCAGTCCGTACGTTGGAGTCCCCTTAGGGAGGCCATAGAATCGGGCCAAAGCCGTATCTTGGGGTCTCGCCATGCGTCTGTCGGTCGGTGTTATTGCACCTGAGTTCTCCAAGGCCAACAACGTAGCATTACTTTCGCGTGTCAGTGCCTTTAAAGGGTTCGTTGCACATGGGACATGGAACTGTCGGTCCTCCAGTAAACCTTTGGCTTTTTGAAGGTAGTCTGTCCTGTCCAGTTCAACTGTGGGTCGTCCTTTGTCCGCTGGCACGATGACCAGGTCTTTGTCGGCCTTGAGTTCTCTAAGCGCATCACGTTCGACCTTGGAAAGCACTTCCCGCGGCCTGTGGGCCATCAGGAGAGACGACACTTGGTGTCGGATCAGGTTCTTAGTCTCCTCCGTTGCCTCCGTCTGACAAAGTTTTTTTTATATGCATTCGTTTTAAAATATTACTTTTTGTTCACAAGGTCAGATTTCATGACTTAATATAAGTAAATTTCACCATATATTCTGACTTGTCGAAAATCAGGGTTGGTCGTTCTTTGTCCGCCGAAACCTTACTTCTCTTAGGTTTCTTAATGGTTTTAACCTAGACTAAGAGGATAGTTTGATCTGACCCTTCGTATATGACTCAATAGCAAATAGAATTCCTGAAGTCTTGTTCGTGTTTCTGTTTAGAGGCAATGCTTTCAGTGCAGAGATAGAATCCACTGGAGGTGCAACTACTGCAACGAGGAGGCTGGGAGATCCCCGAAGGAGCCGGATCCCCCAAAGTTGTGTCACACAGCGGCAGGATATCGGTGAAACATCACGTGCAACGATCCCTGATGAAGAGGAGGGAGCCGTGAACATTCATAGGTATGCGGTGGCATGGCTACTGCATCCTATAAATACTGCAGCCACATGTGCATGAACCACCCTTATCTGCTTATGTCTCTGATGATTGATTCGAGCAGGAATCCGAAACGTCAGGCTAATAAAGCTCTTGTCCCGGCGATCGTGTCTCCTTCTTCAAGACTACTTCCTGGGACTCGGCTCTTCGTTTCTATTGGCAATCGGGGAAAAACTTGTCTGGGCTTTTAACTGGTACCTATGTCGGGAGTACTGTATAATATCTTTGCCACATACACTAGGTTGGCTTACTCTTGAAATGTTCGCCGAAATTCCAGAATACATTTTTTGTTTCAAAAAGATTAATTGAGGAGGGTTGTACAACTAGTCATCCTGCCGCATAATTCTACAATAATTCAGTTACACCAGGATGCCGGTCTTCGCGTGGACTCCTTTCGGGCTACATGCAAGTACTATGCTGTGTGATAAATGGCTGCTTGATTCCCATGGATTTTCCTCATTGATTTTCGATGCCCCTAACAATTTATGAATATATTATGAAATACACGCATAAGCATATTTATTCCTTGGCCCATTCGGTAGAATATGACGTCCTCTTACAATGTTATACTCGAAGAAAGGGTACAGTTCGGTTTTCAAAAACTTTTCCAGTTCCCGAATAAATTTGGACGCGACCTGCCGTTACACTTTCGTTCTCGGTTACCGAAACACATGCCGTATATTTTCCGCGCACAGTAATATGGCGGACAATATAGTGTTCATAAATTTTACCAGTTAATTTGAGACACATGGTTAACTTTGCAGGTCAAACTGCTAAATGCAGACGCATGACATTTTGTGAACGTTCACTTCACGATTTTAAAAAAAATCTCAAAATCAGTAACTTTGCTAAAGTCGAATTATACTATTCCTTCGAGTAGAAATTTGTAAATAATGGACTATTCTACCAAATGAGCAAAAGAATGAATATATTTATATATGTTTTCCATGAAATATTATTGAACTTTTAACGGCATAGAAGATCAATAAGAAAAGTTTATGCTTAATGGGTAGTCATGTTTTACAGAGTGTGGTTTTTGCATGCAGCCAACAAATATTTCTTTCGAAAGCCGGCATCCTGATGTAACTGGAGTATTATAGAATTATGCTGGAGAATGATTGGTTTTACATTCCTATTTAATTATGCTTTTTTGAAGCGAAAACGCATTCTGGAGTTTCGATTGACCTTTCATGCTTTAGCCCACCTACTGTAAAAGCAACGTGTTTTTGAATATCTACGTCGGTCACCATCTCTTCCACAAAACCTTACTTTTCAGCCGATGGATGTCTACACTGTGATCCATCGTACGAATTTGTGGCGAATATTCAGTCCAATCATCATTAAATCGATGTTCTTTTACAATATATTATCACGTTTTTTTCGAAACTATTGCCCATGAACCGGCAACAGTTGCAACAGACATAAAGCATTTTAAAGTTTGAAGAAGGCACGCCTTTGGGCAAGAGGACCGTGACCCTATGTTTTTCATAACTCCGAGCATAATGTCAACACATAAGCGAACACTCGAAGGATCATGATCTTTTCTGCTTTCGGGTGTAAAAAGATAACATGCTCATCAGCATAAGCAAAAAGCTGCTTATGAGCCGAAAACAGTGACTGCCAAAATGTCCCTGCGGCTAAAATCAGGCTGGATGCCCAGGTTCACACTTTACTGCTATCATTTTAAAACAACGGCCAGATTGCTTTGCGAACCCTCACAACTGACCTTGCGCTTGGCAATTTACTATTTTCACAGAGCAGCTAACTTACTCTTCACTCCCAATAAAGAACTTGGTCTGCGGGACACAAGCAAAATCGACGTTTGGACAGAGGTAAGTGGTGATGTTAACAAAACACACTTGAGACTTTGACGTCAATGGCAGTTCTTTGCAGGCGGATTTCAGTATATGCGGATAAATCGACACCTGTTAAACTGCACTGGTCCACATCAACCACAAAATCATGTGATTTTACACACCGTCGGTTATGAAGGGCGGGCAACTAGGCTGGGGTGGTGAATAACGTCTAGGCACTTCCAGTACAGTTTGCCAACGTGTCATTTTTATATCACCCAAAGCGATTTAATTCTTGTGAAGGGATATGTAAATATGAAACTGGCAGGCTAAAACGCAATCCGAAAGAGCTAAGAATTAACGTCCCAACTTCATCGAAAGGCTGCCCGTTGTTTTTAGCAGGTCACGTGCTAGTGAATGGTTCGAAAGCAACCCGGGCAGCTAACGTTATGCAAATCCAGCCCTACATCTGGTGACGAATTGCGGAATTTTATGTACCACCTGCCAAGGGCTGTGGCAACATTCAATAAACTTTTATTCAATCTAGTATTTAGCAAGTTCTCTCAAGCGCGCCAATCATGCCGAACGAATGCATCGGCCATTCACGCTCTGACTTCTGCAATAATAGACGACATAGTAGAACCAGTAGACTTGTTCGAGAACAGGATTGGTAAAAATAAGTTGCACACGAGCTGCAGAGAGGAAGGGAGCGGGCCACTAGGAAGGGGAATAAGGGGTTTGGCCTAAGTTGGTCGAGGTGAGGATAATGCTGGGTTGTGGCACGCGTCAGCACACGCCAGTAAAAGACTTTTTTACGCATCAGCCACGGCCATAACCCGTCACCACACCTCGCCAGACCGTACGCAAACTTGCTTCACATCACCCAATACGTGCACAACATAGGTGCCTATTGCTTAAGTGGGACGAGTATTCTATAGGGCAACCTGAGAACGAGCTAGGCTGTTTTGGAAAGAAGTAGGCGGGTTCGTGTTGCCGTGGGTCCAATGTCACCATCGTTTGGCACACCAGCTCCGACAGCGGACCGGCGCTTCGGTGAGGGTAGTGGGAGAGATGCCGAATCTGGGGTCTGTACTCCCAGAACATCTCAACGCATTCTCCGACTCTATATCTATCCCAACGTGCTGGAGGTCATGACTTGGAAGGCTACCAACTGAGGAGACAACTCTATCGTCTCAGGAAGGGGGGTCACACTGCAAGTGTTCTTTGCTAATGTGGCTTTAAAAGCCCTGTCATCCAGATGGCATACAAACCAGTAATGGCGCAAAAACAGGTTCCTATGGCAACGCCGCGCCTATCACGTACGCGCACCAGCGACAACCAGCTTCGGACGCACACTCGTGCGGCGTTCACCAGAGCGACGTCCACTTGTGTCGCTGTAAGCTACTGCCGCAAAAATGCCGAGACAAGTTGTTTACGCCACTAGTGTCATCTGACCGCCGGTGTAACCACGAATCGGCGAAAGGACTTGCATTGATTTGTAAGAGATTAAACCCACTAGTTGGGCACAGCGAGTAGGCTATCCAGGAAACGAAAGTAGCAGTATCCCAACAGTTACAAGCTAGTAAATAAGAACAAAGTCGTCAGCAGGTAAAAGTGCACGTGCGTGTTCTTTGTCTTATTCAAAGTTGTGTCAAAACGTATTGTAACTGATTAAAACAAAACAGACTTAAATGTCACTACAATACTCCCCCTCCTAGGAGAACGGAGTTCAAAAAAAACTATTGTTAATAGAAGAGAAATGTGGGAGTGTTATGCATATTGTACAAGTTGGTAACGGTCGGGAAAACGGACATGACGACCACTGCGCGTAAGGGGAGGAGTCTGTGGGATAAGGGAAGACGCAGGGTTATTGGGCGTAAATGGAGTCTGGGAAATAGCAAGTGGCAATGTGCCAAGTGGAGGTTGTTCGATTGGAGAAGTTGGAAGAGGCTCGGTATAAGCCGCCTTCAGGCGATCGATTGAAACCACGTCGGTGCGGCCTCCACGGTCAATTGTAAAGTGCTTGTCCTTGCGCGATAGTACTCGAAATGGGCCGTCATAGGGCTGTTGTAGTGGCCGGCGAACGCTATCTATGCGGACAAATACAAAAGAACATGTTAGTAAGCTTGGATCGACGTACGACTTACTTGTTGAAGGACGTGGAGGAGTGGCTCGAAGATGAGTCATGGCTTGGCGCAATCTTTGCACATAATCGCTGGGATCCAAGTCCGCTGAGCTTTGAGAGTACCCGAAAAAATCACCTGGAATCCGTAGGGTAGTACCGTAGACAAGTTCGGCAGCGGAACACTCCAAGTCGGGTTTGAGTGCGGTACGGATACCGAGCATGACCAAAGGCACATGCTCGCTCCAATGGGAAGGGTTGTCATGAGCTCGGAGCGAGGCTTTGAGTTGCCGGTGGAAACGCTCGACTAAACCGTTGGATGAGGGGTGGTATGCTGTCGTGCGTATGCGAGAACATCCGAGGAGGTTGGTAAGGCTGTTAAAAAGTCTAGACTCGAATTGTTGACCTCGATCGGTGGTAATGGTTGAGGGGACGCCATAATGAGAAATCCAGTGTTCCAAAAAATGCATGAGCAACGGAATCTGCAGTTATGTTAGGTATGGGAGTTGCAATGGGCCAACGAGTAAATCGGTCAGTCGCAGTAAGTAAGTAGTTGCAACCACGAGATGTTGGAAAGGGACCTACCAGATCGATATGGACATGCGAAAAACGTGCGTCGGGTGCGAGGAAAGTGCCAATGGGGGCTTTGTTTTGCCGTCCGACTTTGGCCTTCTGACAGGCCAAACATGAACGGGTCCACTGGCGGATGTCAGTGTTCATGCTTGGCCAAACGAACCGCTCGCTGACGAGGCGCTGGGTAGTGCGGATGTCAGGATGGGCAAGATTGTGCAACGCGACAAAAACATATCGTCTCATCTCGCTTGGCACTACGGGTCGGGAGGCACCGCGCGATACGTCACACAAGATTGTACCGGGGGTGGTGGAAAGAGGAATGGCTTCGAGTTGAAGACTAGTGTGTTGAAGGCTCTCACTGAAAGACGGCTGATTTTGCAGTTCTGCCATGCGCTCCATATCGATGGAAGGGCGGGTGATGGCATTAATGCCAGGCCGAGAAAGACAGTCAGCAACTTGATTATAAAGGCCTTTAAGAAATCGAATATCGGTGGTATACTGAGAAATAAAATCGAGATGGCGGGCCTCGCGGGGTGAATACTTGTCAGAAGAAGTAGAGGGGGCATAAGTAAGAGGCTTGTGGTCAGTATAAATACAAAAATCTCGGCCCTCAATATAATTACGAAAATGCTTAATGGCTAAATAAATTGCAAGAAGTTCTCTACCAAAAGTGCTATAGCGAGTTTGTGGGGGTGTCAATTTGGCAGAGTAGAAAGCCAAGGGCTGGGTGCCAGTGGGCGTCTGTTGCTGGAGGGCAGCACCTATAGCGAAATTGGAGGCGTCGGCCACAATGGAAAGTGGGGCATCAGGTATAGGGTGAACAAGGACAGTTGTATCCGCAAGAGCCTTCCTCGCACGATTGAAAGCCTCTACAGCTGTGTCAGGAAAAGAAAACTCACGGTTGTTCCCGCGTAAAAGGTTAGAAAGTGGTAGCATTAATTGAGCACAATGAGGGATGAAACGTCGATAGAAATTGACAAGGCCTATAAAACGGCGCAGTTGTTGAAAAGAAGTGGGAGTAGGGAAATCGCGAATAGCTGAAACTTTGGCATCTATGGGGTGACAACCAGAAGCATCTACGCGATGTCCTAGGAAAAACAGTGACTGTGCGCCAAAAACGCATTTAGAAACATTAATGAAAACGCCAAATTGGCTCAATCGTTCAAAAATGAGACGCAAATGTTGTAGGTGCTCGTGTTCACTGGAACTTTCTACCAGAACATCGTCGACGTAGACAAAAACGAACGGTAGATCGCGGAGGGCTTCGTTGATGAAACGTTGAAAAGTTTGGGCGGAGTTGCGTAGCCCAAAAGGCATCCTGACAAACCCGAACAGGCCGAACGGTGTTGTAATCGCTGTTTTGGGAATGTCTTCTGGAGCAACGGGTATCTGATGGAAAGCTTTGACTAAGTCAATGTTGGAAAATATTGTTGCTCCAGGTAGGCTAGATGAAAAGTCGTGGAGATGGGGAAGTGGATACCTGTCAGGCACAGTGGAGGTGTTTAACCGTCGGTAATCCCCGCATGGGCGCCAGTCAACGAGAGACTTTTTGCACACCATATGTAGAGGTGCAGCCCATGGACTGGTGGAAGGCCTAACTATGCCTAGCTCCATCATGTGGCTGAATTCAGCCTTGGCTATGGCTAACTTATCGGCGGCTAAACGACGGGGACGGCTAAACACGGGTGATCCAGTAGTTGAAATATAATGTACAACAGAATGCTTGATAGGTTGGTTAAATTGTGAAGGTCGTGTGATAGATGGAAATTCCGAAAGTAAACGATGATAGGGAGTAGACGAAGGGATTGTTGAAATGCGTGGATTAGGTGACGAAAGGGTACGAGTGGAACAATTACAATGTAAAGAAGTCTTAGGATCAAATAATTTATGGGACTTAATGTCAACGAGGAGACCGAAAAAGGATATAAAATCAGCGCCGAGAATGGCAGTATGGACATCAGGGATAGTAAATAGCCAACGAAATGAACGTCTTAGACCCAAAGCTAGTGTTAGGGATCGTTGACCAAAAGTTTTAATAGAAGTATTGTTAGCTGCTTGGAGGAAAAATGAAGAATTTGGTGACTTACGGTCAGTCAAGGTGGGTGGGATTAGACTGATCTCCGCACCAGTATCCACGAGAAAATTACGACAGGAAGTCCTGTCATAGATGTGGAGTAAGCGACTGGGAGAGGATGTGCCGACCACGTTCGTCGCCCTTACTGGTCGGCAGGGGGGTTTTCCGACGCGGGTGTTTTATATTTGCACGGAGAGTGGCAGCGATGGGCGTTAGAACCATAATTGTGATGATACCAACAGAAACCATCAACTGTACGTTTGTTTGGAGTGGGAGATCTCGGGCGGCGAGAAATTGCAGGACTACGAGGGTTATAGACGCGAGTGGCCCGGAGCTGGGAAACTTCGAGAGTGAGGGCATCCAGGCGTTTGACAACATCCTCGATTGTGGGGGCAGTTGTGCTTCGACTAGCGACGTTAACCGTAACAGGAGGCTGGTAGTACTCGAGTATACGGTCAGCAGTCTCCGCGAGCATCTGAACAGTCGATGAAGGAATGTTAGGCGCAAGGATGGCTTGCACAGAAGGAGGCAACCGTTGGAGGAAAAGTTGCTTGAACATGGTGGCATCCAGCTTTTGTCCGTCTGCCAACTGCTCCAAACGCCTAAGAAGTTGCGTAGGCTTCCTGTCACCGAGGTCCCCCTCAGAAATTAAGCGTTGGAGACGTTTTTGCGTTGAGAGGGAAATGCGGGAAATGAGAGCCTCCTTTAGGGCAGTATAAGGGGCTTCTGTGGGCGGGCAATCTATGATGTCGCGGAGGTCGGTGGCGATGTCCATTGGGAGTGCTGCCACAACATAGTGAAATTTCGTATCCTCTCGTGTGATCTGACGGAGGGCGAATCGTGACTCTACAGTGCGCAGTCATAACGCGATGTCACTGAGCCACACGGATGGCAGGTCAAAAGTGTGAATGCCGGCTATCGGCTGGCTGGTAGAATCGCTGGACATAATTAGCCGGGGTCGGTCAGAGGTCAGATAAATGGGGTAGAGGACTGGCGCGTTGACGGTGAGACTGAAGGGTAGCGCTCGTATTGGATGAAAGGGTGAGACAGTGTGGATAGCAAATAAGGGCTAGATGAATAATCTGATCGATGGAAATTAGAGGGAGGATTAATCCGAATGGAAATAGTTATGCACAGAGATTAAACAGAAGGAGCTATGAACGATACAGGGTCACCAGTGTAAGAGATTAAACCCACTAGTTGGGCACAGCGAGTAGGCTATCCAGGAAACGAAAGTAGCAGTATCCCAACAGTTACAAACTAGTAAATAAGAACAAAGTCGTCGGCAGGTAAAAGTGCACGTGCGTGTTCTTTGTCTTATTCAGCGCCGAGAATGGCAGTATGGACATCAGGGATAGTAAATAGCCAACGAAATGAACGTCTTAGACCCAAAGCTAGTGTTAGGGATCGTTGACCAAAAGTTTTAATAGAAGTATTGTTAGCTGCTTGGAGGAAAAATGAAG